TAAAACCCTATAGACTCTCGAAGATAAGTACGGACGTCTTCGCACCAATCCCCAAGACTCTATTAGGCCTACTCATAACTCGTGAGACCTACGTGAACCTAGTGCCCTAATACCATGTTGTCACGATCAAATTTCTCCTATGGGCCGTGACGGCGCCTAACATCGCTGCTAGGCAAGCCAACGATGAACTACTTATGTAATTGTTCTTTTTAATAAAATTCCAAGTAGTTGAATTTCATTTATTAAGAAAATGAGGAGTAGATAATTTTTTAATAAAATAAAGCGATAGCTGATGAGTGAGCAAATGCAATAAAATAAATGCTCCAAAAGCATAAAGTCTACTAGCTTGTATTCCAAGACCTGGTGTCATAAGTGTATGAACAAGTAGTAGAATATAAAAAATACTAAGCTACAGTCTGAAATAGAGTAGCAGAAAATAGAATGCAAAGGAGATACTCTGGGTTCTGCAGAACGAACTCGGAAATCAGCTCATTACTAAGCCTCGGGGTTTTGGGGGTGCGCGACTGCCAGATGCACCTGCCTCAGATCATGCACGATTAGTGTAGAAGTTTAGCATGAGTACGTAAACAACATGTACCCAATAAGTATCTAGTCTAACCTCGAAGAAGTAGTTACAGGGGTCGACATCGACACTTGCTATGGGCTAACAACAAAATACAAGAATGCTAAATAGGCATAAAATATGTGAACAATAATATTAACAGAGTAGCAACAGTGATTAAATGATTCTTTAATAAATAGTAAATTCCAAAAGTCTTCCACTAACACATACTAATTCCAAATAAATCTCGAGCAAACAAATACTTTATAACCTCTCAATTCATGAAAATAATATCAAGTGTATTCGGCTCTAAGCATTAACACGCATGATTTATGCTGAGGTCATACGGCCTGATCCAGAATAATGTGTACACTGCCGAGGGTCGAGCGGCACGAACCATAGATGCATCTATTAAACTGCCGAGGCGTTCAGCCCACTCCACAAGAAGAGAGAATACTTTACAAACATCTGATTTAAAAGCTATTATCAGGCTAATACACAAAGAAGCGCAATTTTTATTGACGGTCAAGTAACCCGCCAAAACTCAAATAAGTGAAATTCGGTCTTTACAAATCCTTTATCAAGTTTTAATATAATTTATGCACTTTAATTAACATAGGGTGCAAACATTACAAGTATTTTATGATATGGGTCATAAACTACCCGGACTTAAGCATAATTAGTAGCTACGCATAGACTCACATCACTTCGTGCATACGTAGCACCCACAATTAGAAGCAAATAGTAATTTAAATCAACTATGGGGTAAGTTCCCTCTTACAAGGTTAGGCAAGAGACTTACCTCATCTCAAAGCTCACTTTCCGGCCACAAATTCACTCTAAGGACCCAACTTGGTGCCAAACAAATTCAAAGCTAGCCAAATATTTTATAAATTAATCAATATGCGCTCAAAGGTTAATAATTCAACTATTAGAGTAATTACCTAACCCAAATGGAAAGATTCCTAAAATTTATCCCTAGGCCCACGTGCCCGAATTCTGGAAATTTTCGAAGATAATTGTTAACCATAACCTCGCGAATCCAAATATATAATGTTCACCCAATTCCATAATCATTTTTATGGTTAAATCTCATTTTTATCAAAACTTAGGTTTTTCAACTGAACCCACAATTTCTACATTTTATATGCTAAGAATCTACCCAAAATACATGTATTAAACTCATCTCATATAGAAATTACTAACCTCAAAGTGCTAGGTGAAAACCCCTTTTCAAAGAGCTCCAAAAATCGCCAAAGAGATGAATGAAATGAGCTAAAATTGTCTAAGTCCCAACATTAAAAGCCCTCACTTCCTCCAACAATTTCGCTTCTGCGGACCTTGGGTCACATCTGTGATGCTGCTTCTGCGGGCAAAGGTCTGATTTTGCGGAACACACACAGCCCAGAACTGGGAGCACCTGCGGAAGGGCACCGCACCTGTAAGCCTGCTTCTGCGGCTCGCCTCTCGCACCTGCAACCTTGCCCACACTAGCTTCCTCCGCTCCTGCGATCCCCTCATCAAAGAAGCAAGTTCACTTCTGCAGAAGAAGATTCGCTTATGCGGGCACGCTAAACCCTCTCCCCTTTCCACTTCTGAGAACGAGACGTCGCACCTACGGTTCCGCTCCTATAGCCATTCCCCCGCAGGTGCGAACACACCAGATGCCAGCCACCATCAGCTCTTCTCCAAAGAGCAATCAAGCTCTATCGACCCTACGAATCCCATACAGAGGCCCCAAGGCCTCGACCAAACATATCAACAAGTTAGTAAACATAAAACGGACTCGCTTGCATCCTCAGAAAGTGGAAAAGAACATCAAAACTAAGAATTATAAGCCAAAACCAAATTGAATCAACTTACGAACTTCAAGTTCTTCCTACTTACTCCGAACGCGCCGAATCATACTTAAACTAATCAGAATGACACCAAATTTTGTGTGCAAGTCTTAAATCACCATACAGAACTATTCTCGGGCTCAGAATTTCGAACGGACCTCGATAACACCAAAACCTACTCCAAACCAAATTTAAAGAACTTAAAAAACCTTCAACGTGCCAACCTTCAATATTAAGCGTTGAAACGCTCCCGAGTCATCCAAAACCCAATCCGAATATACACCCAAGTCCAAAATCATCATACAAACCTATTGGGACTGTCAAGTCCTGGTTCTGAGGTCGTTTACTATGAATGTTGACCCAAGTCAAGCTTAACCCTTTTGAGCCAATATTAAGGAACTAAGTGTTCCGATTTCAACCCGAACCGTTCCAAACCCGAACTAACCATCCCCGCAATTGAAATCCGACCCGATATCAAAAAGTTCACTCCCGGTCAAACTTTTCGAAGATCTTCCAACTTTCCAACTTTCGCCAATTAATGTCGGTGACCTACGAACCTCCAAATTAATGCTTCTAAGACCAAAATGACCATACAAAGCTATTGGAACCAACGAACTCCATTCTAAAGTCGTCTTCACACAAGTCAACCTATACTCAACTCTTATAACTTAAACTTCAAACTTAGGGACTATGTGTCTCATTTCACTCCGAAACTCTTCCGAACTCGACACCAAGCACCCCGGCAAGTCAGTAACCACAAAATGAGGCAGAGGGAGAAATAAATAGGGATTGGGGATAATACTCTCAAAATGACCCGGCGGGTCGTTACAAAAACTTTAAAGAAAAAGCATAAAATATAGTGTATTATGGAAATTTGTATCAAATCACCACTATTATCCTTAGCCCCATGGTGGGTGTCAAGCTGTTTACCCTTAAAATGGATAATAATTAAATTTGTACGCGATTTTAAGGATATGTGGATTGATTCAACACAATAATCAAGAATATTAGATAAATAAATTAAAGACAAAATGAATAATCAAACTAATTGTAGTGTTTACGGCCTGGATCGAACTTAGGTTGAACAATAATTTTTCCCTCGATCGGACCCTTGGTTCGAAGTCAATTGTGAATGAAGAACAACAATAAAATAACAACTTTGCAATAGCTAGAAAGCAAAAAAAAATTGTATTGTCTTGGTTTGCGTGTTACAATGTGTGTTATCAAAAAAAAAACTTTTTACTTTATATAGTCGGATAGTTTTATTCCTAGTACAATTCTAATGAAGGTAAAAATTATTCTTTTTCATTAATTACTTATCTGTAACCGATATCGGGCGAGATATGCATCGTGATATCCGGTTGGATACGGATATCACGGCCCTCTGTTAGTCGTGCACAACCATTTGCCATATTTTCCAAGGTCCTAGAGCTCGTTTTGGGTCGGGGAAGTGTTGTTTCATCGCCCGACGATGAACACATCGTTCACCTTTTATAGGCCTCGGCACGAAATACTCCCAGCCTCGAATTCAACTTCGTATTTCCGTACCCTTGCTCCGTCTTCTTCACCGGGAAGTTGGATAAGTATTGTTTTCGATTTTGCCCGTATACCCAACTGTACAACCTTTAACAACATGCCTTATGCATTGCCAAATTATTATTATTAGTATTAGTATTATGGGTTGGGGAGCGGGGGCCTAAGGAAAGGCATTTTATGGAAAGCATGTAAACTATGTGAACCTGAAAAATTTTATTTTGTATCTCATATAACTGACACTAGTTGTATGAAGCAACTTTTTTGTCTCACAATTTTTTGGACCCAATTTTCTCTGGACCCATAAGTGTAGGGGTCCACAAATTTGTGAAACAAAAAAGAACCTCATACAACTAGTGTGAGTTGTATAAGACACAAAATAAAACTTCACTGTGAACCTAGGTTTTATAACGATGGACCATAATCCTCAAGGTTGTCTGAGTTTGATGGCGTGACGGATGGGAATTCGGACTTCCCATTCTCATCTCTTGCCTGAGTTTGATGATGGCGTGATGGATGGGAATTAGTACTTCCCATTCTCATCTCTTTACTCTTATAAGGCGTCGTAATTTACTAATTACAACAAAGAGGACAGAACCTAGAAAAAGAAAAAAGAAAAACAAAGGACAAAAAGGAAACATTTAGAATTTGATATATTCTCTGTTCAAAAAGAAGAAAAAATCGTTTAAAACGTATGATAACACATTTAATATTCCGTATTAAATAAAAAATCAACCTCTTAATATTTGAAAATACTATTAAAAATTCATAATGATAAGAATGGGTTGTTTGAATAAAAACCCTAAATAGTGGTACTCACTAGAGTTTTCTTTGGACCATTACCTTCATTACCTTCAAAATGAGAAAAACAAAAGAAAAAGAATGTGCTCGGGCCCTCGTTCCATTCTAATTTCTGACATATTGCTTTTAACCTTTCCGTCACGATTCAACTAAATTACAGTAAGAAGTAAGAAGGATTGCTAGAGAATCAGATTCGAATAATCAAATCAACCTAAAAGTGAAAGAATAATATCCCCAATGCGAGTAAAAGTAATGTCTCCAACAAAGGAAAAAGATGCTAGTGCCATGTCGCACTGCTAATTGTAAATCTGTTCAAGTCGTCAAAAAGTAGACAGAGAAAAACAAGATAGTCAAGAAATTAATGAATACATATAGAATGACTAATCTATCCACGAACTACCATAAATTTACTGTGATTTTTCTTGGAAACAAGAAAACAAGTCATTTTCACAGCAGATCAAATCAATGCTTCAATGCTAGCTTTCTTCAACATATTACAGACAGGACATGAGTGGAGAAAAGTGTCACAATATTTGCATGAACATAGGTGTCTGCAAGGCAGGAAAATCATGCACGATATCCTAGAATTGCAGCTTTTGCACATCATCATCTCATGTCCACACTGTTGTTCTGTTTTATCTTCTTCTGCTACATGACAAGAAGACTCTGCATCTTCAGCAGTACCTCTGTTGTTTGGTGATGAACAAGCAGTCTCTTTTAACTGTTCAATCGTGTTGTTAAGTGACATCACCATTGCTTCTTTCTCTTTGGCCATTCTCTGCCATGTTTGCTTCTCTATTTCCATTCTTTTCAACAAAACTTGTAGCTCTGTTGTCCTGTTTGCTGCCTTTGCAATTTCTTCGTCTTTCTGTTTTAGCAAATACTGTGCCTTTGACTCGTATTTTCTCAAGATTAATGCCACTTGTTTCTTTCTCTGCTCCTGTAGTGTCAATCTCAATCTCTCGTTCTGTTTTCAAAGCAAAATCAATTATATTTAATTCAAACATGTACTCCCTATTGAAGATTATATTGATACAAAAACACGTTGAGATAGAAGAAGCATATACTATACAAGATTAATTACCTGTAAACTGATGAACCGATTGATCTCAATATTCTGTTTCTCTAACTGGGAAGTTAGACTCTGGGAAAACGTTGGCATTGTTTGTGCAGAACTACTGTTATATTTTGGGACGAATTGCATCAAATTCTGATTGTCTTTTTGGTAAAGATTTTGCAACTGCTGATGCTGTTGTGGGTACTCGTAATGTTGCTGCTGTTGAGGGTTAAAAGAAAACTGATTGAATCCACTAGAATTATTCTCCATCAAATCCTGCGAAACTCCTAAAGGAAAACCAAGATTCTCCGAATACAACTGCGCTTGAATGGCCATATCAAAAAGTTTTTCACCACAGCAAAAAAATGAAAGAAGTGACTTTTTGTACCCAAAACAATGACTTGATTTGTTCTATAGAGAGAAGAGAGGGAGGGTCACTCCTCTCTATATTGTAGTCTAGTCTGTTGGCAAACCTATGCCTATAACTCTGTGATATGTTTCTTGGTTTAGGTCAGGCCAAAGTTAACCAAACATGAAGGTGGGGTTTCACTTTTTTCTGTATTTATAGTATGTAAAATAAAATAATAAATTTAAAGAAACTGAAAAGGGGCAGAGCTAAAGGGGATTGATTCTCTCTATTTATTCTTGTGATTTGTGTAGTAGTAGTAGTAATAAAGAGAGAGGTGGTAATTAAGCAAACAACGTAGACATGCAGGTTTTGTGACTTTATAGTTTATACTATGTCGGAGGAGATTTCTTAGGCGCGTTTTTCAAGCTCAAGTATGCTAAGAAAATTCAGTTCAATTCCATTCCTTATTTGGAGGCTAAAAGTGGAATAAAAATTGTTCATTTTTTACTTGTAATATAGTACAAGTAAGATCTTTGAATCATTTACGAGTTATACTTGTGTCCATACTCCATATCGTTTATACATGAAAGTCATTCATTAAGTAGGTGTTTGGACGTAAGTAGGGGTGTTCATAAAAATCCGAAAACCCGAACCAAACCGAAAACCAAACTAAACCGATCAAAAAAATCGATATTTTTTTGTTTGGTTTAATTTTGGTTTTAAAATTTAAAAATCGATCAAATTTGGTTTGGTTTTGGTTTTAATAAAAAAAAACTGAACCAAACCGAATATAGGAGTAGCTATTTTAAATTTATTATTACACCTATATATATGTATACTTTATACAAAGTTTCAAAAAAAATTATAGCAAATGTTAATCGTTTGCACTTTTAGTACAAGTCTTTACCTTTACATTCTAATTTGATTGGTAGTTTTCTTTTGTTAAGTGTAAGAATCGATTTCATGTTAAAAATAATATATTTTTAATTGAGTCCTTAAATTATTCATCACTATTTGATTCAATTATCATCAATATATCTTGGTAAATAATAGATTTCTCAAAGGGCAATTGATTTGATAGTGTTACGTTGAAAATGTGGTCGCCGAAATATGTGTTTGGTAGTGTATGTCTTATATTTAAGAAAAAACCGACAAATATCCGAAAAAATCGAAAAACTGACATAAACCGAACCAAGAAAAAACCGACTTAATTGGTTTGGTTTGGTTCTAATATTTGAAAAATCGACTTACGTGGTTTGGTTTCTTTTTACGGGAAAACCGATCCAAACCGAACCATGAACACCCCTAAACGTAAGAATTTTAAAATTTTGAAAAAAAAAGTGAAAAAAAAATTCAAACGAAAATGTTATTTGAAAATTAGAGTTATGTCTGGACATAAATATAATTTTGGGTTATTTTTAAAGTTTTGTGAGTGAAAATTTTAAAAAGCAGCTTTTTGGAGTTTTTCAAATTTTCGAAAAAAATCGAGAATTCATCTTCAAGTAAAAATTAAAAATTTTATGGCCAAGCACTGATTTTGAAAAAAGGGATTTTTACCTATCTATACCATATATCAAATCTTATTACCAAAAATGTTCATAATTTGTTATTTACCCATGTAGTCCACACTTTTACTACAAATTATATACCAATGCAAAAATAGGTAGATTTTGCCATTAAAAAAGCCCTAAAATGAAGGCACCAAATCTGATGTGATTATGTCAAGGATTTTATTCGAATTTTGAAACTGAAGGAGATCTCTCTTCCTGATGAAGGCACCAGTTGCGTAATTCTCTCCTTCCTCAACAGAAAGAGATCTCTGTTGATATCAGCTACAACATAAAACGCAATCAAATTGTACAACTACTGAAGAGAGATTATATCTGTTCTTCGTCTCAAATTGTACAAAATTGCTCTTCGTCGATATCAGTACTCAAATTGTAGAAACTATATCTGTTCTTCGTCTTTTTTCC